CCTTCTCTAAATTTTACCCCAGCCTTGCCCACAAAAGGGTGAGTCAACTTGGCATGGCCACATCCTTCTCTAAATTTTACCCCTGCATGGAAAAGTCGAAAAGCGCGCAGCGCAAAACCAAAAAAACGCGCGCGCAAAAAATGGAACCAGGATAACGCGTGTAAACGCGCAAGCCTCCCAACCGCTTTCGCGCAAAGTGCGCAAAGTGCGCGAAGTACGCAAAACACGAAAAACGCGCAAGGTAAAAGCAGAGCAACAAAAGCAAACAAGCAACAAAAGCAGAAAGGCAACAAAAGCAGAAAGGCAACAAAAGCAAAAAAAGCAGCAAAAGCAAAAGAGCAGCAAAAGCGGAACAGCAGCAGAAGCAAAAAAGCAGCAAAAGCAAAAGAGCAGCAAAAGCAAAAAAACAGCAAAAGCAAAAGAGCAGCAGAAGCAGAAAAGCAGAAAAGCAACCAAAGCAGAAAAGCAGAATCCGAAAAAAATTCCCGAAAAAAAATGAAAAAAATTCCCAGAAAAAATACCCCTCCAAAAGAATCTCTTAGTTCGGTGCTCTTTTGGGTCATTCGGGGTGTCACAAACCGAACTTGGAAGGTCCTGGTTGTCTGGTTCGGGGTGTCTTTTTCCCTAAGAATCCTTGGGGCCTTCGCTCTGGATTCGGGGTTGGACCTTCTCCCTCTTCGCAGGGTTCGGGCGGATTCTTAGGGTTAGAGATCTACTTTTCTTCGCTCTGGTCTCTGGTCTCTTCGAACCGGGGAGTGGAACATGGCTGGATCACAGCGGTCATGGCAGGGGACCGAGCGGTGGACCAGAATAGACTACAAGGGAGCTCAACCTACCAGGGTTTGGGGGCTTTAGGTGACTCACAGCCGAAACTTCTCCGACTGCCAGTCTGCCACGCCTGACTATGGGGCATGTGGCAGAAATTGCACATCTGGCCGTCCGAACATCCTTCCGAGCAGTGTTTGGCGCGCCAAAACCGCACGTTCACTCGTCCATCTGAAAACTCACGGAGCTGAATCTTCTTAAGAAGAATGCGATGTTTTAGAAACCTTCAAAAGAACAGATGGACCCATTTTTTGTGGACCCATTCTTTCTGAACGCTAAACCTATAAAACATGGACCCTCAAAAGATGCACCTCTCTGGAACTAAGTCTTGTCTTTTTTACAACCTGGATTTCAAGGTCTATCGTAGCTCGGAGCTCGGGGTGTCCCACCGCGGGGTGGGACGCGTTTCTCTTGGATCTTCTGGGGCTTCGAACAAACGCCAGGCATGGAAGAGTTGGACGACTGGTGGAGGCACTGGTGTTTGATTCTACCCCCCCTCCGCCGCGACCCGAAAGGAATTCGCAGTGTTCGGGGCCCTTTCGCGCTAGGCGATCTCAAAGCGAAAGCGAAGTGCTTCCTTTTTGATGTTGGACGTCTTTTGGCGGCCTTGGTCCTTTCGACCAAAACCTGAGGAATGATGTCTGAAGTTCAAAGGATGCGAAAGGAAAGAGTCCCTGATGGCTTGCAAAATCTGTCTGGAATGTCGGAAAGGCTTCAGCTTCTTCACAACTCATTGGCTTTTGAGCCTGATCTGACCAAACAAATGAACCTGTGAGCTGCATACCAGGTCGAATGAACTTGGAACTTATAACACAAGTTGCGAAAAAATCTCTTGTTGGTCCGATATAAAGACTCATCTTCTCTCAACACTCGCTCTTTTTTCATCCACCGAAGTGTTGGAAGACCTAGACTAGATAGACAGACCCAAGAGATTGCAAGAGTGCTGGGATCTGCAACCGTCTTGGGAACAGGTGTCTGATGGTACTGTTCATGGACTGTCAATCTCGACCACCACGAAGGATCATCATTGCTTTGGGATAAATCCACGGTAAATCCTGGAGTGGAACAAGAGATTCGAACAAAGACTTCCCCGGATCTTGCTTCAACCTCCCAATCCTTCCAATCCGGAACTCTAGAATACTCTAGAATCCAGATGCTGGCTCCACCCTTACCCGACCGGACATCCTCCGTCGCCCCCCTCCGTACGACATCTCCCCTCTCCTGCTGCCTCGGTGTGGGCCGATGCGGCGACCGATGCGGGTCCGATGTGCACGCAGCCCGTGGAACGCTATAGAGGAAGATCGTAACAGAACCCTCGGCTGGTCCAAATGGAACTCGAGGTGGGTTTGGCAAATTTAGTGTGGAATCTGGAATCTGGTGGTGAGAAAACTAGTCAGGTTCCTGAGATTACATCCTTTCACCATCTCCACGTCTTGGGCCAAAGAACAGCGAGCCAGAGCCGAGAAACATCACGATGGCACAAATGAGACAATGGCACAGTCGAAACCTTAAAGGAAGAGCGTCCAAGTCTTTGGACGTTGACACCTTCCCAACCGTCCTTTCTCGCTCCGTTCGTCACGATGTCAGGCTTCGCCCCCGGTTCGAGTGAGCCGTCCGAACGCTCTTAAAGAGACACACCGAGCCATGCCGGACGCCGACGCTCCGACGCTTGCGTGGTCCTACTTTCATGATCTGCCTTCACGACTTGGGTGGACTCCGCGAGTCAAAGGTCTGAAGGCCTCTTCTCTCCCACTCAAAAGGGAAAGGTCGGAAGGGGTTGTTGGTGTGTCCAAGCATCCTGCATCCGAAAGAAGGCTGAGGTTCTTTCAACCAGGTCCTGTACTGTACAGCTCCAATCTGAACTCTTAGAATCTGCTTCTCCAATGCAAGTCCTCCATTCACGCCTTCAGCAAGGTGTCTCCATTCTCCAAATCTCCAGTCCTCCCCAAAAGAAGGATTCCACCCACCCCAAGAACATGTTGCCTTCCTTCACGCATCCTGCATCCCCACCACCTTCTCCTTCTCCTCCCACCCTTCACGGCCGAAGTGGCGGTGAAGTGATTGCGGCAGGGGTTGCATTGGCCCTTGTGGTGGTTCTTGGAGCCCCTCGACGGCATCGCCGGTGCGCGGCGCAGCTCCGAGTCCACCGCCTCCAACGGCGCGCGGAAGAGGGGCCGAGGCGTGGACGGTGGACGTCTCTCGAAACCGGGCTTTGGAGTGGTTGGTGGTTTTGTTGGTTGCTGTTTGGAACAAGAACCAAACCATGATGAAGTTTTTTGCCAGTTTGGGGGGTTGGTGGATTGTGTTCCTTCTTGCCAGGATGTTTGATGGCTTCAGGGGTCTCCTCTTGGTGAAGAGTTTCCAATGATTCTGATAGTTTCCTCTTGGTTCCAATGATAGTTTTGTGAAGATCATGATTCTGCCGCTGAACCTCACGATGAAAGACCAAAGATTGACGCATTCGTTTCTAAAGGATGGACGATCCAAGGTCCTCTCCAACGTCTATAAAACACCAGACATGGTTCAATCTCAGTCCCCCCCCACTCCACAACCCATGTCGGTCGCTACTCGAGGACATTTCCCCGCAAGACTAACCCCTTGCTGGGACGTGCGGGTGGACAATCCGCACTGCACCCGCTCTAATTGGAAATCCAAACGCATCGGAAATCGATGTAGGTGGGCAATCATGGCAAGCCCAATGGAGTGATTTTCCCTCCTCTTCCGTAGAATAAGACACGCCAATTGAAACCCTTGCCAAACCGGTTTCATGGCCTTTGCTGAGTTTTGTTTCTCCAAAAACGATCTAGCATGCCAAAATGGCGTTTATATAGTCAGACATACATACATACATACATACATCATTACAATATTGCCTGTGTATATATATATATATCTGTATGTGTGATTAAGATTCTGAGTTTGTGTCCACAGGAAGGGTCAACATGAACGCCAATGACCACAGCCATCCAAAGGACCCAGGGAAGTCCGCGGTCGCTGTCTAATTCGTTTCGAGCCATTCGGCGACAGGATCGAATCGACAGGTGAGTTGGAAAAACAAGGGGCCTGGGCGCTCCGAGTGGATGCAGGGCAGTTGTTGTGGAGTGTCACCAATTTCCTGATTTTTACATATAGATATATAATATATATATATGATATGTACGAACTGCTCTCTTGATCAAAAAGGGCTTCAGTCGAGTCAACTACACAGAGTGAAATGCAAATGCTGTCAGATATGTACTCTATAGCCTGCACTGAAAATGGTTCACGCTCCTTCTTGGTAGCGTGAGCGATCTAATTGCTACTTTGAGCTCACTCTGCCACAGTAGTCCATGTTCTTTCATCATTTCTCTTGTAGATTGACTCTCTGCTCTAGGGAACAGGGTTCCCAGAGATTGCTGGTGGTGGTCTACCTGGGTTGTCTTTTCTCATAACTGCACATTCTAGCAACTCTTGATACTTCTCCATTTCTTTTTCAACTTGGTCTGCTAACCCTTGCAATCATCCTTTTCCTAGTAGGTCATATTTTCTTTGATGGAGTTGCTCAAGCTTTGCTTCCGGCCGACCACACATTTGGCTTGCTGGCTCTATCTCATACTCCTCTCTGACTGATAGTTCCCTGTTTCCTGGCCTGAACATTCTGTTCAATGGTCCTTCCGATGGGGTGCTCCATCCATGGCTGCTTGCAACAGTACTCGATGGCTTCTAAGCTCCTTCTGGCGAACAAGTTTCCTGCATTCATCTCTCCCAGTACATCATAACTCATGATGGTATGAGTACCTGGATCTTGTCTCTCCACAAAGCCTCCATTGAGAATCAATCCACAATGAATTCTCCTGGCATAATTGCGTAGAATGTTGCTTCTCTCTTCATGGTCTTCACATGTTCAATCTCCATTTCCAGTCTTCTAATTTTGAATTCTGCTGCTTCTGACCTTGAACAAGCAGTTTCCATCGTGCTGTATATCGCTGATCTCAAAATGTTTGTAGAGCTCGAATAGTACAACGATCACTGCTGCAAAACCAATATTGTTGATCGCAATGATCATGACAATCAAAAATTCCCAGCTTTCATTGGAGTCCTTCATTCCTTCACACTGGATGCTTCCTTGCTCTTTCAAGAATGCTTCTGCAATCATTGGCTGCAAGCCCTCAAACGCCACCATTCTCACAATCATCTTGGCAATGTTGTTGACCGTTCCTGCAAAGTTCTATTTCTCTTCATACATCTTTCTCTCATACTTTCCTACTCTTGTTTGCTCTTCACTATGCCAAGGCCCAATGAGGTTCATCAAGTATCTGACCCTTTGTCCTCCAAGTGGCTTGGTGTTGATGCCCGCCATGTTGCTATCTGTTGGTACTTGTACCATCTTGAAGCCTTTCCTGTTTTGAATCCATGGCAACTTTCCATCCACATGTCTCACTTTTCCAACTCCTCTCTTCATCACAAGTTGGCGCGCACTTGAAGAATCTGGGAAGATGTAACGGTCCACCTTTGTCCCAAGAGCAAATTCAAGAACTGAGCGAATGTAGAGACCACCTGATGCTGAAGAAACTGTTGCGCGCAACTCTGCTTCACCTGCGCAACTCTGCGCGCAACTCTGTCCTGCTGTTGAACAGTGGACAACTGTTCAATGCATGAAACCCTCCTGATGTTGACTTTCTGTGGCTTTATTCCCACTCCAGTCTGAATCTCAGAATGTCTCCAAGCACAAATAGCCCTCTCCTGCCTGTGGAAACTCAACTACTAGACAATAGCCGAAAGTCTTCTTCAAGTATCCTAGGAACTTCTTCAAGTGGTGAAATGACATAGCTGTTGGATTTGACATTCTTGAACCCAACTCCTTCATTGCGAATGCTACATAGGTAGATACCTGATCCAACAATGCTTCTGAAAAGGTCTTGCTCATGCAAGACTTGTGGTGGTAGTTGTTGAAGTTTCATCTTCCCAATCTGTTCTTCATAGACTTTCAGCGTCTGCTGGATGTACTTACTTGGCTGGATCCATAGTCCATCTTTCTCTAGTTTGCACGTTCTCCTCAAGAAGTTGAACTCACCACCCATCGTCGCAATTTTGCTCACACTGGTGTCAACCTTGCTTTGGATCTTTGAAAGAGAAGATTTCAT